CGCAAGACTCTGACCACTGTTCAGGGTCTGCCCAAGAAGTTCGACCAGAAGAAGATTCTCAAGGTCATCAAGAAGAAATTCGGTATGTCTTGTGACCTGTGCATGTGTGTGTCCGGTCCAGATTCTAACCATATATTAGCTTGCAATGGCACCATCGTCTCTGACACCGAGATGGGCGAGGTGATTCAGCTGCAGGGAGACCAGAGAAAGGATGTCCAGGAGTTCTTGACTGACAAGAAGGAGGGACTCGAGCTTGATGCCAAGACCATCAAGGTATGTCGCTACCCCAATAACTGCCCTCCATCATCACCATGTTCTAATCTGTCGTATTCTAGGTCCACGGGTTCTAATCCCATCACCAACATCATGCCTTGTTCCAGTCCCCTCTTCCCGGTTTATGTTGCCCTGTGAGCGGTGGGATAGGAAGCATCCCTCATCCGCCGGCCGTATACAATACTGGCCTTCACATCGATCGAATGTCTTGCTTTCTCCCCCCACCACTTTGTGCCTGGCGTGTTAGACCTGGGCCCTTCGTCGAAATGACCCGCTACACCTGTGTGCCTCCTGCCTATCGTTCCCGCATGATCGGCAGGGAGAGCGGGGTGGTTCGACCGCTATTCTAAGGACGGGATTATGACGGAACGAGGAGTTGGTAGATACCCATTATCTGCATAGACAGACAACACTTTTTTTTTTCTTTTCATCACTTCGCGTGTGTTTTCTATTCTTTTATCCTTTGAAAGGGGTTACATTTGCCTGTATTGCTCATTGCCATTGCATTCCCATGGTCAATTGTCAATCTGGCTGATCGAGGAGATCCAGGTTGAACTCAGGGCGTGCTTTTGCTGAACCGTTTTCTCGGTCTCTACCGTCTAGTTAATCTTTGTGCTGTTCTCACTCTTTTGCTGCCCCTCTCTTGGGGATGCAGTCCATTGCTTGGGAACAAGGAAATTGAACTGTTGTCCAGTATCTTATTCCAGCTGATGCAGCAACATACAGTAAATTATAGACTTAATCTCAACCTATCAGGTTAGTTTAAAGACTGGGGAATTTCGCATTGTGAATCAATCAATCAAGAAAAATAATAGATTAGATCTATCAAAGATCACCATGTCTGAAAAGAAAAACATCCCTAGGCCAGGGGTATAAAGCGCAACAAGTCCAAAGACACAAGACACAGATAAAGAGTCTACAACTAAATCAAAACCAAACCCCAAAATGTACAAATCATCCACCCTGTCTAGCCAAGAACGCTTGTCCAGCTTGTCCAGACTGTGGAATCAACTCTGCGAGATACCCCGAAACAGAAAAAGAAAAGAAAGCCCAGCAACCAGCAGGCAAGTAAGCAAGCTACAGCTCTCCAACAAGGATACGGTCATCCGCGACACCCGCGACTCGCATGCGCAGGAAGATGGCCACAGCCCAATCCCAAAGTTTGCGGGTGATGACGAAGACAGGCACTTCTGGTTCGTTTTCGCGGGTCAGATGCAGCTGCATGAGCAGTGAGGACATGCTTAGGAAGCTTGCAACGGAAACGACTAGTAGCGATGCTGCTGTTTCACGTTTTATGGTTGCATGGTTTTGCGTTGCGTGGTAGACAAAAGTTAAAGACTAGGTGAAGGGTTAGTGGCTGCTGTAAGGTAGATCAACAATTGGGAGTCAAGGTAACGTACAGTTGTTATGGATATCCAAGCTGGTAAAAGGAGTCGGGGGTCAGAGGATGCACCAGATAGATAAAGGACCCAAGAAGTGATGTATGCAATCAGGCCATTGGTTGTTAAAAGTCGGATCACAACAGCTGGTGGAGTGTAGTTTAAAAGCCTGAATATATCATGTATTAGCTTTGAGGACAACAGTGAGACATTTAAGGGAAGTGAAGACCGACCATCGAGACATCATGCAATCAGCAAAGAAATAGGAAAGATATGCAGATGCACAGCACTGTCAAGTAGTCAGTATCAAAGTACACGGTTGAACACCAGCAAGTAGTATATCAAAAAGGATATACGCCAACATATCAAGGCGGGAATACCACATACCCACATAATAGCCAATGCCACCTCCGTCACCCGGAACCTCCTTTCAACATCCCATTCCTGTCCAACACTACCAACGATCGCCGCCGTCCATCCCTCTCGTCCCATACCCGGCCTTATGTGTAGCAACTCGGCGAGGAAGGTAAAGGCACATCGCAAGCCCCACCAGGCAGCAGGAAGCGTGCTCAGAGCCCGACATACCAACAGCGGAATATACCACCTGCGGTCTACTCCAAGTATGACAGCAACCCGCGGGTGCAGTGCTGACGGAGGAGCATCGCTGCTGAGTGGGGTATCGGACGTAGAGGAAGTCGGCGAAGGCGGGACAGTCGAGGCAGATGGAGAAGCCACCTCTTTAGCCAACTGGCTTTGTAGTAGTTCGGGCAAAGTGGTGAGGTAGCTAGGCGGAAGAACCGATCGCGCGAGATTCACGTCTGGACCTCGCTGTGGACGTTGGTGTGGATAGTCGTGGGGAGTGTATGGTGGAGGAGAGGCATTACGTTGAGGAGCCAGCCTTTATTCTGAATCGCGGCATATGCGGCCGCCACGCAAGGAATGGAAGGGGTATAGTATGGGCGTTGCGATCGAGTCGTTAGCTCTCGATAAGATTCAAAGTTGGGTTGTTGTCAAGCTGTTTGTGAGTCCCCTAATTGGTAGATATTAGACCCAGTGTGGCGGGCGGTGTCTTTTTTTCCGAGGGCAGTTTAATTCTATACATTCAAATTATTTCTACATATGACAGTTGTATTAAAGAAATTGTGAGGAAGATATAAGCTATCGCCTCGATAAGAGGGCGCTTCGTTCACTAGAATCTCCCGGCCAGTTGTTGCTGTCGACCTGCGGAGTGATTCACGTGACTGACAGTTCCGCGGATTTCTGTTCTTCGGCCAGGAACCACTTCTCTTAATCAACCCGATTCGCAATGGCGTCTACCCTACGAATGCCCGTGGGCACATCCGCTCGAATTGTACCCTCTGGTTCCTTCGTACAGTGTCGGGCCTTCTCCGAGACCTCCCAACAATGGCGTGGGAGACAAATGAACTTCCGCCCTCCAAGCCAAGTGCAGCCGTCCTTCAAAACCAGAACCAAGGGCATGAAGCTCGGCGATCTGCCAAATGATATTGGCATATTACCAGGTACCTTTGTCCGACCTTTGTGGAGGGATATGCCTTCAGTTTTCAAGGCACCACGCGATAGATGGCACATGGAATGGACATGGCTCAAGGCCTGGTTGAGCAACCACGCCAGGTTAGTTCTCCCCGAATCCTCGGAATATTCGGTACGCTCTATCGCCCTAGTGGCGGTTACGTTGAGCAAGAGCCGCATATATCATATACTTTCAAAGATCATATTATCTAACTGTACTGCAGTCTACTCCAATATTGCAAGCGCGAAAACACCCTTCCTCTTCTCCTAAGTAAGCGTCGCCACTTCGCCGCAAGACTCCAGGAGGATATGTATACAGCATTTGCGGAGTAAGCATGCGCCATTTCCTTATTTAATTTTAAGCGGGACTAACCACTATGAATTGTTATAGAGGCAACATTCCTAAAATCCGCCAGATCTGCTGCGACGGTCTCGTCAAGAAACTCAGCACAGGTATCGAACGCCGCCCGAAGAACGAGCAAGTGACCTGGAAACTGGTGAAATACCTGCGTAAGCCAAGCACAAACTTCACCGGCCTCCGCGTCATCTCAGACCGCGCGACATCCATCCCCGATCTCCCGAAATCCGGCATCCGTCAAATTATCGTGCGCATCACGAGCCGACAGTCCACAACCACAACTCAGGTCCAGAACGCCAGTGGAAAGGAACTTACGGAAGATACCGCCGTTTCCACCAAGCAGCAGGACTGTGTCGAGCACATTGTCATTCAGCATCTCCGCTGGAATGACCAGGATAAGGGCTGGAAAGTATGGGGCCACATCAACCCCACCTCATTGGATGAGGCGTGGAATAACCCCTACTTCATGCCTGGCTTGTCGGCCCTCGAGCGTCTGGATATGATCAAGGAGTCGATGGGCCAGAAATAAATTTGAGTCGCATCTCAAATTGTGATTTGTGTTTCTTTCTGTCAGAATGATATGCTCGGAGCCCGCGGCTCTTCGGAGACCCCAGCTGCAAGCTCCTTATAAGGAACTCAAAAACCCTTGCCAAAAGTTTCATCTTGCCGGATCGATCAACAACGAATGGGTTTGCTACATTATTCTTTATTTCACCTGCCTGTCTTATTTCCTGTTTAGCAACTCCTCATTTTGGGCCTAACACTGAACAGAGGCTCAGCTCAGCTTCGTTTCTGGTCTGTTCTCTTTCGGGAAACCTCCTGATATAGAAGCATTTACACCTCCCATGTACCATAGCCACCTGTTTTGATCAAATTCTACCTTTCTTTTGAGCCGTTACTTGTATAAATGAATATCAATGTCTCAGAGTGACCTTCCCGCGATCTACTATCATCTTCCCAAACACGCTATACACTCGAGCTTCAAGCTTCTTTGGCATCATTGCCTTGGCCCTAGAACAAATGCCCTAAACAACGTGAAAGGTAGAATGGGTAGACAGCCATACCAACTGACCAATTTCCTAGAGTTTTATTGCTGGTGGTATCTTATATACTTTCAACTAATATGATACCAAATAGGCCAATATGTGCTGCATCTCAACCTGACATCATCGGTGAGACGATTATACGTTGCTCATGACCGGAAAAAGTCAAAACTAAACGACTAGGCAGTATGTATATGTACAATTGGAAGGCACAATATTAATGTATAGCACAGGTATCACTCCGAGGAAACACCAGGACACACAGGAACAAGAGGTACGGATGGATGAAAAGAAGAGGTTCAAAAGAGCACCGGGAAGCGATGCATCAAGATCATTATACGTGGGTCCGCGGACCAACGCTCATATTCCAACAAACAAAACAAGGAAAAAACTAAGAACGGGCCGGGGGCGAATTGATCAGTCATCGTCGAAGATCTGGAATGTGTTATTCAGGATCGTCTCGACGACACGGACCTGCCACCCAGCGTCGGCGATGCTGCCACCGGAATTAGAGCCCAGGAGGGTTGGTCTATAACGAGAATTAGCGGGTCTATAGCTGATGATATACTTGTTTGTATAGGATGGAGAGCGGGCAAGGACATACCCGAAGCAAATGGCTAGATTGCCCGCGTTCATGCGGTTCTGGGTATAGTGTTCTTGGATCTTGTTGAGATGCTGCAATGGACTAGATTAGTATCTGATGAACATAAAGACTACGGTTCTTGTTGGATATCGTACCAGAATGATAGCACGAAGAGTAGCATAATGAGCATCGGGCAGACTGTTAATAAGGGCGTGCATCGAGTCTCGGCGTTGGATGTCATCGTCGAAGCCTGCGGTTTCATTGTCAGTTTCTCAACACAGGACTATATGCTCTCTTCATGATATGAACACTACTTACGAGCAGCATCAACAAACTGTTGGTAGAACTGAGTGGTGAACAGAGGGTCAGGTAAGTCCCTGAAGAATTGCTTCACAAGTCCTGCAACGCTGTTGACATCATGGTAAAAGGTCTCCGGATTTGTGAAATCGACTTGTGATGAGTCTGTTGATAGGGTTAGCAAGCCGCCCTTATTCCCTCAAGTGTCTGATCAAGCTTACCATTGTCGAATACAGCTTTCATGTGGCTGATGTGATTGGCACTACCGGAAAGTCGATAGATGCCCTCCATATCCAGACCGAACAGCTCAACTGCTTGGAAGCACTGGTACACAATGAAAGGAACTGCCGTTCCATCCCGGGCGTACAGGTCGTTCAGCGAAACGCCAAACACTGGCTTCAATGGAGGGAGATTCAATTGCAAATTCCTGTCCATTGGGGGAGGCCCTGCCATTGGGGGAGGCCCTGCCATTGGGGGAGGCCCTGCCATTGGGGGAGGCCCTGCCATTGGGGGAGGCCCTGCCATTGACAGCGGGATCTTAGGTGCGGGTTCCGGAGCAGGCGGTCCTGAAACTGGGTAGGGAGCTGTGCCGGCTGGGGGCGGAGTGAAGGTCTTCTCGGCGGGATAAGGTGATTGCTGCAATCGATCACTGCTCTGTGGTAGTTGAAGCGCTGGCGAAGATATATTAGTCAAGGTAAATGCCTGCGGCATGGTTGACACACGTTTATTTTGAGTAATTGGTTGCGAAGGTACCGCAGAAGTAGAAGCAGAAGAAACGGCCCCACCACCACCAAGTGTCTAATCAATGCGTTAGAGTAGTGAATCAATCGAGGAACAATGCTAGACTTACAGGGTGACGCTCATATTTGACTTGTACTGAAGCCACAGCCCCAGGATTGCCTTCGTGGCTTAGAATAAACTCGTGGAGATCTTTCTGGTTATCGACTTGACGAATAACCTCGGCAAGGCTCTTAGGTCCTAATGCCCCATCGGTTTTCAAAGGGTTGACGCAGAGACCTTGGCCTAGAAGCAGTTTCTCATTGAAAGTAGCTGTAAATCATTAGCCGATGAACAATGAACAACAAGACAACTTGCGTAAAAATAAATCGCACGTACCGAACTTCTGCTGTTGCAGGGTCAATCCGGAGTCACACTCAGCGATCAACTGCTGAAGATTGTGTACCGCCTGTGGTCGGTGGGTAGACACTAGCTCCTGGCGCGCCGCCTGAGCAGCCTGAACCTTAGACCCATAATCGCTATCCGCGTTCTGGACCTTGCGCAACAACTCCTCCTCGTGCTGCGCCGCAGACTTGTGGCCCTTGAGACCGAACTTTCCGCCCTGCTTGTCTCCCGTGCGAACACGGTCATACTGCTCCGCCAATGATTCGTACTTTGCCTTTGCTTTTTCCGCCAGCGATTCTGCATCGACGACCCTCTTCTCCGCAGCTAAACCCGTCTGTTTCCATTGCTTGCGGCCGCGCTCGATGTTGGCAGCGAGCTCGTGCAGATCATCGGACATCTGATGGAGGGAGACGGAGAATTGGAGGCCATGGTCGACCATCCGCTCCTGGATTCGGTGGATGTCCTTGTAGCTGGAACTGTATGTGCCCTGTCGGTTCTCGGAACGTTGCGACGCATCGCTGATCACGCGGGACAGTTTTCTTAGCCCCTGAGCGTGCTCTTCTTCGAGTGACCCTCGCTTTTTCAGGAAGGTTGAGAAATCCTAGTAGATAACGTGTCAGCGTTTGCGATTATTGTTGGAGTCCTTTTACGACTACTAACCTTGGCGGAGGCCACGCTTTGCTTCAGCCGAGTAAGGAGTGTGGTTATGCCGATCTACTTAGGATTAATATAATTGCTTCTTTTTCTGTAAATATGCACCTAGCGGTGAATTGACTGCGTCTGCTCACATCGGAGTAGATAACTTTGTCCAGGCGGGCTTTCAGCTCGTCTGAGATGGCCTCGTGGGTCGGCTGGGTCTGCTCGGCCCCGTGGGATGAGCGACCGGCGCTCGACGGAGGCGCATCGGAAAGCGTCGGTATCGCCGTGGAATCGTGTAGGGCGTAATCCGACATTGAAACGATCTTGACTTGAGGGAATGTCAAGAAGGAGGAGTCAAATAGAGGGGGGAACGGAAAGCCTCACGGGCCACACCTCTATTATGTATTGGTGGAGATGGCGGTTAGGTGCCGATCAAAATGAGGTCAGTCCAGGAACAGGAAATGCTGCAGCCTTCTGGAGTTTCACTTGGGCTGAAACGTTGTGAACCTATAGGAATGTCCTTAGCCTGGAGGTCCCTGAAGTTATTGGGGTCAAGACGTAATGGCGGGTTCAGCCACACAAGTGGATCTTTTGTTAACTTGGTGTACGAACTACGGCGTAGGGGTACGTTAGTCCTATACGGAGTAGATGTACGTATTTATGTACATTATTATATTCGTATTAAGTACTATACAGTAAAAAAAAATCACTTTTATTCTGGTATCGTCGCTAGGAATCGAATATCAACATTCATACAAAAACACCCGCAATCCCAGTAATTGGCAGCTATAAAACTGGAGGAGCGACAAAAGAGTCAGGAATGCCATCAAAAACCCAATTGAGTGAATCAAAGACTTCCGAAAATCCAGATTCACTGAAAAATGCTCCACCTTCATCAAATTGAGCTGGCATCATCAAAGATTGATCCTCCAGGGAGCTGTCCTGCTGCCGCGTCATGTGTCCTGCCGGACCCAGTATATCTTGGTTCGCCGCTATGGCAGCAGCTATGAAAAGAACCTTGTTAAAAACTGGGAGAAACCGATTAAAAGGGGGAAAAAAGCAAAGAAGACTTACCTTGCATTTCCTCAAGGCTTTTGACCGGTCGGAACCGCTGTCGCCAACGCCAAACTGTGTCGTAGACATGGCTCATGCTCATCCGGCAGCGGACTTTAAGCTGTAAAGCATCTTCTTCGGCGGGCTCTAGGCTCGTAGCATTCCACATCTGGGCAAGAATATCTGCAAGACGAATGGGACGGTCGTGATCCATGACACTGATTCGGCGAATTGCTGAGATCGCACCGTTGAATAGAAGTTTGCCATGGTTGAAATCGAGGTGTCGACTGAAGCTGCTCTTCAATAACTTCATGAGAGCGAAAGCGGCCGACACAATCATTTGAAGAATATAGTTGGTGGAGTGACCGATCAATTCACCTGGCGATGTTTCGAGATCTAGTACTCGACCAAGGAAGGAGGTTGTTGCAAGGAAAAGCTTGATCAGATCGTCGCTTCGTACAGTGGACCCCAAAAACATGAAGTATCGGAAGTGCAATTCTGCGGCTCGGAGATGGATCGTGTTGATTGCTTGGTGCGAATGTGAGCGGTGCCAAATCGGAATGATACCACAACAACTTACCGGATATTTTCCCGTCAAACTCGACATCCATGTCTCTGAGTTCACTTTCCAAGACCTGCACAACTACAAGCTTGTCGGCACTGATAAACTCCACAGGTTCAGGTTTGCTACTGTATAATGCCTTAGTCACTCGGTCGCAGAACTTTTCAATACGCAACCGAATGGCCAGGTCATCGGGAAGCCGGTAGTCAGCATCCCTCAAAGAGGCAGGCTCAAGGGCCCAGTCGTATATTGTGCTCGGTGGCTGACCGTAACCAGTCGCAACACTGCCGAATCCACAATCAGTCTTTGATAAATGCCTATGGAAAGAAAATACTCACTTTTGAGCCACAATGTTACAAATGACCCACGTATGTAGTCGGTCCTTTAGAGCTTCACCCTGAACTTCCATGCGGAATGTTGTGAACTCTTCCGCTTGAACCGGACGGTGTAGCCCAAGCTGCATAGCAATTTGCATCATCAAGCCACTGAGCATGAAAGTTGCATCGGTGCGCTGGCTTGTAGTCGGAAGAGGCCATGTACACAGAACACAAAGGGCCTTCACAACCCGGTAATCCTGCGGGACACTAGTGATGGTTGACCAAAGCAGCCTGCTAAATGGTCCAGACAGTGCGCTCAAGAGGCCAGGCTCATATTGAGACCGCCGACATGCAACACAGATCATAGTCCACGCCAAAAGAGGGCATCGGTTGAGATACACCTCTGGGGGCTTGGGTGGATTCAAAAGAGGAAGAAAGGGGTGATAATAAGTAAAGTATCTATATAGATGTTAATCGCAGAAGCGGGTCAAAGAAATGGAGAGCGCATACTGTTCGTATAATCGAAGAACTCGGGCTCTAGAGAGACAAATATCTTCCAGTCTCCACTGACCCTCATCCTGTGATATAATAGAACCATCCCTTTTCATAGTCAAAGGAGTTGCTATAGATGAGTGAGATTCAACCGGCACCGAAACAGGTCGAGATTGGTCAATTGCGGCCGAGTCACGGCGAGCAAAGACATCCTCTGAACAATGGGACATCTCATCACCTCCATGGGACTCATGAGGCTCTACGCCTTGCTCATGATCTGAATTAGGTCCCAGGCGGCGGCGGAGATCTGCGATCTCTTTCTCCATTTCAGCATTGCGCCTATGAAATGGAGTCAATATGATGCGACAGAAGAAGAAGAAAAAAAAACATGAAACGAAAAAGGATTTACCTTCTCTTAGAGATGCGCTTGAACGACTGTTCAACTTTACAGTCTATTCCAAGCCTACGACAACGCGAACAAGCCGCAGCTGGCGTTTGAACAATATCACATCTCAACTATCAAGGTTTGAGACATCAGCGTGATTGTCGGAGAACCGATACGGTCGGGGTTGGGTTGGATAAAATTGCATCGTAATTTCAGATATGCACAGACTCACCTTTTGCTGCTTACATTCATTGCAGGCTTTCCGGCTGCCACCTCGGCGCTTGCCTGTGACAGGCGGAGCCTTCTCCATCTCGCAAGATTCCGAACTTCTCTGCATGAAATCGATAACCGGGGGTGGCCGGGGTATTGTGGGGGACCGAAAGTCGCTCGGCGGGATGGAGTAATGTGGCCCATCCGGTGCCAGTATGTTCCGATACCCCAAATCCATCGAGATCAGCCTGCGTTCAGCCGGTATAAAGACCCACGAAACGTGAACGAGTGCTCATGGAGTCCATGTGCCGTAAATCGGAGAAATCGGCCCGCTGGAGGGAGATGTGGGGAACCTGTCTGCTGATTGTGGACGATGATTTGCGGGAGATTCGATGGCGAGACGAATCTCGGCGGTTGCTGAATCAGCTGATGCCTGAGGCATTAGTTGATGATGTAATCTCTATGATCCCGGGGCCACTTTAAAGCAGTTCAACATCATGTTAATATGCATACGTCCAATATGTAGGTAACGAGTTAAGATACTACATCAAACACTCTTTATAGTATGTAGTCAATTAATATAACTAAGTATTAGATATCTGATATTATATACACATGTATTACCTTCCATACCATCAGGTACAATGTACATTAAACAAGGACACACAAATAGACGTGATTTTAACATTATATTCAAGGTAAATTAGATAGACATCATCGGATGAAAGAAGCAACTAGGGTAATAGCCGATATTTCAATACATTAAAGTCATATATGTGGAATATATGGAGTACGTACATCATGTTTGGACTTTAATGCCCCACTTGCTATGGACCGAGGTCGATATTCGGGTGCCCAGGTGGATTATATGGATTATATGATCCGCATTCAATGCATTTACATATTTAACTCTTTAGCTCCTAGCTCCTAGCTCTTTAGCTCTTTGAATTCATATCACTCCAATATCTGATCAAAGGCACCTGGATATCATTCAATTTACATTGAAAAAGTGAGTCGTTCTATTGATACCACGCTACTACCTAGGTACATTACCAGCTGACCACTCAACCACAGGTCATCATGTCCGAAATCAACGTCACCGCAATTTTCGTTCCAAAGCCAGAGAAATTTGAAGAAGTCAGCCAAGCCTCATACTACTTGATAGTTCAAATATCTGACATGTTATGTTATTCTCCAGGTAGCTACTCTTGTGACCGAAGTTATCAAAAAGGTGCAAGAACACGAACCGGACACACTGATCTACTACGCATTTGAAATCAAGGACAAGAATGAGATTGTGATTGTTGAGAGGTAAGTCAACCATTGAGGTATCGATATAGGCCACCTCTGATAGTTCCCCCGCATGGAGAGGGCGACCGTGCCTCGGCCCAATCTAATTCGCAAGAGCATCTTTGCCACAATTTCCAAGATTCTAAGATTCTGATCGGCTTTTTTATATATGTATAGGTATAAGAACCCGGCGGCGATCCAGACCCACGTCAAATCACCCTATTTCCGCACCTTCTCGGGGAAATTATCCACTCTGTTGACGAAGCCGGCGGAGATCAGGGCAGGTGGGTTCTTGAATGGTTCGAGGGGCGTATCGCGACTGTAGGTGGTTCTGTTTGTTTTGGAAGTTACTTTTTTAGGATCCAGATCAAATCAAGTCCCATATATAGCTGATGTCCGGGGTGGTTGGGTAGATATAAATAGGATAGTTGATGGACCATGCATAAGCGCACTCTAGCTCTGGGGTTTCCCATAATGATTCGATATTAAGTAGACGCTATGGCATGTCCCAGCGTCACTCGTGATTTAATTGTCATGCGATTGGTGCATTAGTGATGGCTTACCAAGAGATATAGGAGGTCTGTGAGATTTTTAGGAGATATTTGACCCTATCACACGGAGTAACCAAAGGGAAAAGCAATATGAGAGACTATGTAGTATAGAGATATAGAGATATCGAGATATATAGATATATAGCATTCACTCCGTATATCTATTTACATATTTATAACATCTATTTAGATACGCACATTTTCAATATTTAGAAATAAGTGGAGACTTATGTTTTTAAAGGGTTTCGATCTCTTCCACTTCAAACAATCTATTTAGTGACTTTGACTAGGGGAACTAGTCTGATCACTTTCCTTTTTTTTTCTCTCTCTCCTTTCTAACTCTCTCTTTCTTTCTCTCCAACCCCATATATTATTCTTTTTTTTGTTTTGGTTTTTGGTGAGTCTCTTTCAAATCTTCTTTCATCCTCATTTTCTTGGTCTCCACATCTTTCCCACCCCCTCTTTTTCCCTAGCTCCAGCCTCCTAGCTTCTTTTCTTCAAAGCTGTCCCCCTGAAGCTAAAGCTAATGTTCTGAAGATACCCTTGTTGCCATTGTGTCCTTCCACGTTATCGTTGTCATTCGGTCCGAGCCCCTTATCGTCCACACCCCCCCCCCAACAGCCCCCTGTTGGACTTCGGCTTGATTTGGTTTGATTATATTTTTGCGACATGGCGACGGGTCCGGCTACTCAGTCACTGAAGGTGGGCATCTGATTTGATCTATGGCGATGCGCGGCTTTAATTGACGATACCTGCAGTGTGTGGTGACCGGTGATGGTGCAGTTGGCAAAGTTAGTACATCCCCCAACACTTCATCCCTGCTCCATATAATCTTGCGATAGATGCTAACATCCAATTCCCTCTCTTCTAGACATGTCTCTTGATCTCGTACACAACGAATGCTTTCCCGGGTGAATACATCCCTACTGTGTTCGTACCCACTGCCCCTCAATGCGAAACCTTGAATCCCGAACGGACATTGATTCCATTATAGCTTTGACAACTACACGGCCAGTGTTATGGTTGACGGCCGGCCGATCAGCCTGGGACTGTGGGATACTGCTGGACAAGAGGATTACGATCGTCTGAGACCGTTATCCTACCCGCAAACCGACGTGTTTTTGATCTGCTTCTCCATCGTCAGCCCACCATCGTTCGATAACGTCAAAGCGAAGGTACGAACGGGCCGAGCATACGCAAGAGTTCTAGCAGGCTCTTCCTATTTCTATGCGACTAACTGTTTCCCGCTTCTAGTGGTTCCCTGAGATCGAACACCACGCCCCCAATGTCCCCATCATCCTCGTCGGTACCAAGCTCGATCTGAGGGACGACCGTGCGACTACGGAAGCCCTCCGCGCACGCAAGATGGAGACCGTCTCCTACGAACAAGCCTTGGCCGTGGCCAAGGAGATTCGCGCACATAAGTACCTTGAATGTTCGGCGCTGACACAACGCAACCTGAAGAGCGTGTTCGATGAAGCCATCCGGTGTGTTTTTACTCTCTTTCCTGGCGACTATGTGTTCGAATCTGTTTTTTTCTAACTGTCTGTCACAGGGCCGTTCTCAACCCCCGTCCCGCTACGAAATCCGGGAGGAAGGCAGTCAAATGCAACATCTTGTAGAGCACGTTTGTTCGGCTTGACTCGTCTCCCCATGTTCTCGTATGCTATAATGAATAATATATAGTTAATACGGCGTCTGGGTAGTTAGAGGCTTTTTTTTAATTTCGCCGACCTCTCAGTCGTTTTGTGATGAAATCCATTGACCGTTTTTCTTGGGGATATTTTCTGTCTTTGCCTTCTTGGCCCTTGTTCATAGTCTGTCCCAATTCAACTGCGATATCCTTAATTCCGAGATTATACCCTGGTCATTCTAAATTATCTGTAGTTTATGTCATGATAGATCTCCACCGCGGCACTCGGGCAGTTTGCTGGGAAAGAACCACAGAAAAGAACATATGAATTGGTATCTTCAAAATCAAGCAATAGAGACATGAAGTAAGTACTTTTTGGAACACAGAAGAAAATACCGGCCAAACCTGATGCTCCTGAATGCATGGCTATCAAAATGTCCAGCTGCCTGCAGATGCTCCGGACACCTTGCTGTACACTGTTCCGATCCATCAACAGTCGAGACCGTCAAACCCATAGCAGTGGCCCAGCGGCTTTTGTTGATTTAAACACGACCTCTGCGGCTAGGGTGCAGACCAGCCCACTGATCGTTGTCAGCGCTGACAGCGGTGTCAGCTGCGCCATCCATGCTAGCAGCATTGGCACCAGAGCCGCCAGCCGGGGCAGCCTTCTTCTCGTGCTTTCTCTTGTCCTTCTGGATATCCTTAGCCTGGCGCTGGCGCTCCTCATTGAGCTTCTCGTTCTTGGCCTGGATCTTGGCATTGCGATGTTCGGACTTCGCGCCGCCGCCGCCAGCACTAGAATTGGTAGTCAGCATACGGTCTATGGTTGCGATTGGATTTCCTTCTTTGGAGAAGACTCGGAAATGATCATCATCTTCTCCAATTGGGGGTGATAACTCACGTCAGCTCGACGTTCATGCGTCGGGGCGGGTACTTTCCGTCGTCGAAGTTGGAGTGGTGGTACAGCTTGAGGCAGGTCTTCATGCGGTCGTAGTTGTCGAACTCAATGAATGCAAAGCCGCGGCACTTCTTGGGGTCTTCTTTCTTGGTTGCGACGCGGATTGTGGCTGGGGGGTTCTTCTCGAAGTGCTTGCTCAAGGACTCGTGGTTGGCAGAGTAGGGAAGGTTGCCTGCATATGCGCACATGCTTTGATTAATCCTGTGTCTTCGGTTCAAAGTATTCCACCTGTATTAAAATTACTTACCGACAAAGCAGATGAAGCGGGAGCTCTTCTGGGCCTGCTCGGCCTCCGCGGATTCAGCGGTAGGCTCTTCTTCGGTCTCAGCAACGGGCTCGGTCTTCTCCTTCTTCTGCTTCTTTTCCTTCTTGTCCTTCTTCTTGTCCTTCTTCTCCTTCTTATCGGCGTCCACCTTCTCGACAGGGGTCACGTCAACATCCATAGCGTCCTCGGAGGGAGCAGCAGGCTCAGCATCGGCCTCCTCGGCCTTGCGCTTCTCCTTCTTGTCGGACTTTTCCTTCTTTTCTTTCTTGTCAGACTTCTCTTTCTTGTCGACCTTCTCCTTCTTCTCGGACTTGTCCTTCTTGTCCTTCTTTTCCTTCTTTTCCTTCTTCTCATTCACCTCTTCCTGTGCTGGGGCAGCAGTTTCGGCGGGAGCGACAACCTCGGACTCCTCTTGCGCCTTGCGCTTCTCCTTCTTTTCCTTCTTATCTTTCTTGTCCTTCTTCTCCTTCTTCATCTTCTTGCCCTCAGGCTCGACCACCTCATCTTGCACGAGCTTGCGCTTATCGCCCATTGTAGTAGTTTGTGTGGGGTAAATGTTGTGGTAAAAGGGGACAATGGTGGGATGGGACAGAAAACAAGACGAATGAAAGTCTTGGGATGTGTGTTAAGGAAAACAAGAAAAGAGGTGGAGAAAGTTTGCTACGCAACGAGACTCAAGCTCCAAAAAAATAGTCGGGCGGAGAGAAAAGTGAAATTTAATTTTTGCCGGTCTCGGGAGGCGGTGAATCGGATTCCCGATAAGGCCTTAATTTTTATAGTTCGCAATTTATTACATCAATTGATAGTACCCACCACGCTACACAATTGTATGAGTACATTCATTCGAGTTTACATATGCTTAAATCGTATACCAGTATATAATTTTGTGATCAGTGTGTTAGATTAGAACACCAAGATCTTCACACCCTTCTTCACCCCATAGCGCTCACGCAGTTCCGGCCGAGTAAGCAGCTTCAACAGCGGCATATGCGTGTCTTTCATGTCAAAGATGCCTCGTTGCTTCTGGTCAACGTGTGAGCCATCAATGACAATGCGCTCTAGCTCCTCCAAGTTGAGAGTTCCTAGAAGATCAACTATCAGCATATGTATACATAACGAAGTAGAGCTATCTGTATATAGCAACGGAGCAAACTCACCAGACTCGATCAAATCAGATATTCTGGTTGGGGTTCCAGCCCCGATACCAGACCGGGCACGTTGAAGGAACTGCTTCGCCTCCTCCAGCTTGATGTGCTTCGCGAACAGCTTGCCTACAATGCTATCCTTGGTTTGGAAAGAACGAAGTGCCCTAACAACATTAATTGTCAGCCCCAGCTTCAAATAATACCAGAGAACATATTGAAAGTTGCCCACTTACCGTACAACATCAGCAGCTCGCAGAGCAGCACCCGAAATAACTAGTGTATGAGGGGTGCCGTTCTTCTCAGACGACTTTGACAGGTCGGCACCCTTAGGACTGAAAGACTTGAGGAATTCGGGGAGTTGCTCCAGCTTTCGGGTGGAGGTGAAGGAAGAGGTATCGAGGAATGCGGAGTCTGTGGATTGGTTAATGTCTAGAACACCCTCGGCCTCCCCTGGCAGAACAATAGGAAGTATCCATACCTGGAACCGAAAGATCACTCAGTTCAACAGCGGAGAGCTCCTTATCGTGTCTTTTGGCCTTCTGCGCAAAGTGATCGCCCAACAACCGGCCGTCCATCTTGCCAATCGACTCGTCAATGCCGTCTTTGCGCGTTGACTGGCTCTCATCGTGCTCAGCCTGCTTCTTTTTGTTTTTGTTCTTCTTCTGCTTCTTCTTGCTTGATCCCTCGGCGGGTGTGCCTGCCTCGGGCTTTTCTTGCTTGGGAGCAGCGTCGTCGGCTTGTCTCTTGCGCTTGTTTTGGAGCTTGTTGGAAAGCCCAGTGGGGGCGTTTGTGTCAGCCATTGTAGCGATAACCAGTACTTGGAAAAAATATTCCGATTATTTTAAGCTTCAATTAGTAAATGCAAGTCGCTTCGAGAAGACTTCATTGCGCAAAAAAAAAGTCGGCTGATTCAGCCAATCTTATCGATAAGAACGACCAATCATGCACTGGCCCGCAATTGTTGTTTCTAGACGCGACAGACAAACATCAACGTCAATCTTGTAATTCACCGTTCGCCCAGTTGATCTGAGATTTTTTGTTGTGGAGATCACGTATATGGTCTGTTATTTCTTACATGATATAGCTATACTTCTCTTCCGGGAAAAACCAGGTCATGTCTACTTCTACCCCAAACGCGCGTGGCCGTCGGTCACCAATTGGGACCGCTACCCCATCTGGGGATACAACATTAACCGGAGTAAGTTATTCATTACCCTTTGCGAAGTTTGAAAATTGCTGACTGTATCATCTCCCTCCAGCTCCAACGCCTACCTATCCATACACGCTACCCTCTAACACCAAGTCGACTTGTTACCGCAGCCACCCCGGGGACTCAGCGGTCCGCCTCTCGATACACACCACGCGCTCGAGGCGTGGCTGCACCGGCAACACCATACGGACTACGTGCCCGACAACAACGAGCGGCGAATACCCCTGGTCGGGATCGCCGAAAAAGCGGCCGAATGCAGCGGGAGACTACATTCGATATTCTCAGAAACCTGGGCAGAGGTAAGAGCTTCACCACGTACCACTCGACATAAGGAATTGAACTAAACTAAATCATTTGGGTTGGTCTTAGCACTCGCACCTATATCTCAACCTATCCGCTCTTCGCCGCAGGAGAAGCCAGAGCCCATCGAAGAACCAGTTGATGAATTTGAACAGCTCGACAATGAGCCAGAAATCGAGCGACCACGGTTATCTTTGCCTATTCAGGAGTCTGAGGAAGAAGGCGAAGAAGCGAGTCCTGAAATACAACCCCCGAGGATGTCTCTCGCCTTTGTAGAGGAGGATATGGATATGACATATCAGTCTGTCGAATACCCTCGTGACGCTAGCATCAGAGACCGGGACCGGTTATCAATGATGAGCCGAGCTACCGGCAGAATCAGTGGAGATTTCGATGAGACAAGATTAGAGAGCGATGATGCAGATGAAACTGGCATTATGGGCGAGGATGACGAGGCAGAGGATACAATGATGAGTGGGGGCGACTTCGATCGAGGGTGGGTATACAAGAGTTGGATTGTCTATGTTACAAATATTGACTAATATCACAAATAGGGGAGAGACGGAAGACCTGGGCCGCTTCCATTTTGATCTCAACTTTCCATCTCCTGCGGCTCCTCCGCTTGAGGATCCCACTGGCGGGGATATGAACGATATGGAGGATTTCGAACTGTCAACCGCTGAGCCACCTCCAGCTCCATCAGACGATGATGATGACGATGTTGGAGCTGATTTTGGTTTCGGGCTCGACTTCCCACCCGCAGCATCCCCCAGTGAGAGCCCTGGGATTGTTGGAGGCGGATTGCGAGATGAAGCTATCCCAGCCCAAGGCAAGCAAAAGAAGATTTCACGACATGGAATTCCTGTCCCAAACTTGCCTGCAGGTGTGGTAAAAAAGCTAGCAACTCGCTTCGCGCGTTCGGGGGCAGGATCAAAGGCAAAAATCAACAAGGCCACACTGGCCGCGATCGAGCAGGCATCCTCTTGGTATTTTGAGCAAGCAAGCCAAGATTTGGCTGCTTATTCAAAGCATGCAGGACGGAAGACCATTGATGAGAGCGATGTCACCACATTGCTGAGAAGGTCAGTTTCCCTGAAAGCCAACCATCTCATGGGAGTAATTGCTGACTTGTTCCAGACAACGCCATATCAATAAGTCCACGACAGTATTTTCCCTCGCCCAGAAGCATTTACCCAAAGAACTTCAGCAAGATATGAGATTGGCCATGCCTCCATAAATGCCCGGAACAGAATTCTCCATGAAAAGAAACGCTTTCAACGCCAATGAATTATGCTAAGGTAAAGTTGGAATCCCACTACCGATTACCAGTTTCGGTTCTGGCGAACTCGGCGCAGTGCCTCGTTGGGATTCTTCCGAATAACCATCCACATCATGATGGTCGTGGCCAAAGACAGGCCATACCTGTAGAGCATGAGCGACAGTCTCGAGTCTCGACTGAGAAGGGAAAGCACGCAACAGATCCAACTTACCAAGTGAAGATGTATTGAGAATGGTTGTTTCTCAAATTTACCTCTGCGGCGCGACCAATCGGGATACCCTTGGCCTCGCGATCATATGATTCGACGAGGTCAGGCACTGGAAACGCAAATCATTGTTAGCCATGCCTTAACAAGATTATATTTAGCCTCCTTACCCATTGTCTGCTCAATCCAAACAGGCTGGCTCCCGCCCTTCTCTGCCATCTGATTGATATCGGGGAAGTAGAACTTTCCCTCGTCTGGCTTGTTATCCGGTGTAAACATGTTTTTCTTCCATGGCTCTCGTAGCAAACCCTCGACGGTCACCTCTTCATCCAGTACACCTAGAGGCCGGTCTTTTTGGTCCTTCAATTTCCTAGAGATCCAGCCCCGGTTCACGAGTACAGTGCTCTGTCCCTCCCGTTCGAGGGGGGTCACCACAATAAACCCGTCCTCTCCTTCGTTCATGCGGGGTCCAACCAGCATTTCTTTGTCATGGCGGAACCGGCCGGTAGCGTACACGCGGCGGTAGTCGAATTCTGAAATGGCATCCGGGTCGATTCGGGGCGGCAGTGGCAGAGGAGGCTTCACGAGACGGTCCTCGAATTTGGCCATCAGTTTAGTTTTCCAGTCCAGGCGCTGTACCTGCCATGTTCCCAGGATAAATGAGATGATAGGAATCAGAGCTATAGATATTTAGAACAATACGTTAGTAATTATCTCTTAAACAACAAAATATCCATAGCATTCTCAAGCACATGTAGCATTGGACCTTAACATACCCAATATGATCAGACCAGGTCCATGTTTCTTATTAACACGGACGAGCCTCGCTGGGTGGTCCACAATATTCAGACCCTCGGCCAGCTGGCGCGATTGCGAGATATAGCGGAATTGTGGTAGGCGGTATTTGGCGCAGATGGAATTGATCTTCGATGGTACGCGTGGACTCCGGACAACCCGAGTCGGCGCTGTCCAGACCCTCGCGGATGTCTTCTGCAAAGCAGAGAAGATCGGCCGCATTTCGACAGTTTAGAAAATGTGAAGAGTGAGTTGAGGTTTGCACGGGGCTAAGAGTTGGAGTTTCTTGCTCAAATGCGACGGCAGTTGGGAATTTCGGGATCGGGGGTTACCGTGACCGCCCACGCTTCTCCAATCTATACTTGTCTCTCCGCACTGGCCTTCTCATTTCCTCCAAGTCTTTACCGGAATGCGATCATGACACTTTTCTACAATGGATCCCTTCAGGAAGGCATTGCTGCTGCAGTGAGAGATGCCAAAGCGGTTACTTGCTTTGTTAGAGGTCGCCGATGTTCTCCCCGCATCGAATGACATGTTGCTGATCTTGGGACTTAAACTTACAGATGACGAAGAGTTAAGCTCTCAATGGGAGGACACTTATTTCGGTGATGATGAGGTACAGCCACTTGCTATACTTGAATTTCTGACGGTATCTGACCCCCTGTAGGTTGCGCAAGCACTCAATGCCAAAGCAGTTGTATTGCGCTTGACAGCGGGTTCACAGGAAGCTGGATTCCTGGCCTCTTTTTGTCCGATCTCGAAATTCCCGACTGTTGTCCTGATCAAGTGCGTTCAACGTCTGTGGGAAATTCGGTGTTGGTTTGCTGATTTCGTTCCAGGAATGGCACGCTGAAGGAATACATCGGGCCAGATATCTCCAAAGATGACTTCCGCAGCCGATTGATTGCAGCTTTGGAGGATGAACAGACACCCAGTCCTGCGCAGCAACTGCAAAGCAATGACACTCCTACCGCTTCAACTAATAACACGTCGGTGTCAGTGGCGCCTCAACCCCAGCCTAACGCGCCATCCAATGCCAGCAAATCCGCAAAGCAAGCAAGCGAAATTACAGTCAAGAAGCAATCACAGATTGAACAAATACCTAAGAAAGCTGCAGAACCTGCAAAGTCGGCAGGCTCTGCCTCTCAAAAGCACTTGTCGTCCAAAGAGGCCAGCCATAAAGACATTAAAGGCAAAGCGCCGGTGGGGTCTAAGAAGCCCACTGGCAAAGGTGTCGTAAAGAGCGAACACCAAGAGCCAAAGCCTATAGTCCCTCGAGGACCCCCAACCGAGTATCGGCTACAGGTGCGCCTTTTTGATGGAAGCTCCGTGCGATCTAGCTTTAAACCCACCCAGAGCATCCGAAATGATGTACGGGCTTGGCTTGATGAGAAGATGGAAGGCGACAACCGACCCTACAACCTCAAACACATCTTAACCCCCCTCCCCAGTGAAACTCTTTCCGTCACCCAGGAGTCGCAAACTCTCCGAGACTTAGGTCTCGGTTCCACCGCGAATTTGGTCATGGTTCCCGTATCAACATACACCGAGGCCTATTCGGCAGCGGGTAGCTTGCCCGTTCGTGGTATCTCTGCCGTCTACAACCTGGCATCTTCTGCTGCCAGCACCGCAACAGGTCTTGTGGGTTCATTCCTTGGGTATGGTTCAACCACACCGGCAAGTGGTGCAACCACCCCTTCGGCCCCTCCGTCTACTAGCAATTCTCAACGTCCTAGGACCACGGGGCCCAATATTCGGACGCTGAGAGATCAGCAAGATGGACGTGGGAACAGTCAGCTCTACAATGGCAACCAGGTATGTGATGCTAAGAGAGAATATCTTGTTCAGGTTTAGCTAATATATTTTCAGTTGAACTTCGAGCCACGGAAGAAACAGGACGATAAGGATAAATAAGTCCTAGTGTTATTGCTCTGATGTTTCTGCATTACTTATTTATGGCGTTCATGGATCGGATTAGCCCACAACGCTCTGTACTATGACACTCTAGCTATTTTGCACTTTTCGGTTACTGTAAAGTTGGCAGGCATAATAAATGATGTTTTCCATGAAATCTTCAACGCCCTTTTCTATCATATTTGTGTTTGAGGTTGATCCAAATAACCATCAGATAACTACAAATGTAGCAAGTTCGTTAAATTCATGCATTCGAATTCTTGATTCGGTAGTCAAGCATTGATTCCTTTATCGAGGAGAGATGGTATAAAGTACAAAGAGGGGATGTGGAAATGGCTATGCAAAAGAAAGATTGGCTATGAACGATCATGCCCATAAACCCCATCACTTATTACTAAAAATGGTATCTGTCTTTCTGACCACCAAGGGTCAAATTGGTATAAAACCCTTAGTAGGGCTTAGCGGCAGCCTGGCAAGCTTTCTGCAGGACATTAGTACATATTTAAAAAGCAGAGAAAAATAGAACAAGTGTAAACATACCAGCTGATCAAGGTACCAACCGCAAATGCCCAAGTTACCCTGGTTCTCATCCATGCAAGTGCGGAAGTTGCGGACATCAACCTCACAGGCAGGGTTCTCGTACGAGGTCTGGGCAGCGTTGCTCTGGTAGAGACCGTTGTCCATAGCCTGGGACTGAGCAGGGGGAGCCTGCTGGGCCTCAGCGGGGGCGCTAGAGCCACCGCCGAAGAAGCCACCGATAGCGTGGCCGATGGAGGAACCGACAGCAACACCACTGTATTGAATCAATCGTTACCACATATCCCGGGAAAAGTTGATCCTAACCCCGGATTTTATCGGGGAACGAATCATAAAGCCGGGTATGGAACTTACGCTGCGGTCGAGGCCATCTGGCCGAACAGTCCAGGGCCAGCACTCTGCTGCTGCATGGGAGGAGCCTGCTGTGCCTGTGGGGGTTGAGCGGCGGTCGAGTGAGGCTGCGACTGCTGCTGCGAGGGAGCAGCCGCGGGCCGAGCAGGAGCGGCGGTAGGACGGCTGGGAGCGCTACGCGCAGGGGTGGGAGCGGCACGGCGTTGTTGGCGAGGCATTTTGATGATTGTGTGGGGGTTTGTTTGGACGAATGTAAAGGGAGGTGAGGGTATGCAAGTTGAGATAAGTATAAGTTCTAGTGGAGAAAGAAGAAGCTAGAAGATGAGTAAGTTCGGCCACTGAGGCAAACTCCGATGCAAACCTTGGAGTTTTGTGGGCGCTGATTGGTGAGTATTTGTCACGTGGATCGGACATTACAGTGCCGGTTGCCCGGCGCGGAGTCAGGAACGGAATTACCACGGGAATTACTAGCATGTGCTATTAAAAGCGATATGGCGCAAATTATGTCATGGGAAGGAGCAGTCTATTTCGGGGCTTGTTGTAGCTCCCATTGCAGAAGGGTATCTTGATTCATGGAGACATCCGAGTCTCGTACCTACGTAGTAGTACATAGAGCCACTCATTGTGGTCTCGAGATGGCCGAGACATCCATCTAAATGGAATCTCATGGCCGAACAGGCTTGGCAAAGCGATGATTAGATTCGACAATGCATGTGGTGTCGACAGTCGATAGAGGTTCTGGTAATGATGATGTATGCCATAGCCAATGCTAGGCTTTGAGACCGCCCGGCAGTCCGTCCTTAGCATTCGAGGCGCAAGGCAGTCTGTACTTGGTTCCCATCGAAATAGGGACGCAATGCACTCATTGGGCCTTTCGGGCCTTTCGAGCCTCCTCCTTCTTCAGCCGTCGCTCGTTCTTTTCTCCTTTCATAATGGTCGCCTTGCTGATTTTTCTCTCCTTCTTTGCCTTGTTGTTTTCGAATTTGTGTTCTCCTTTGGATTTATTTTTGCTATCCTTCTCGGTCTTTCCGGGGTGATTTGTGTCAACCGGGGGCTCTGCTGCTGTTGCAATGTCCACGCCCCCTTCAGAATCGTCAGAGTCGGAGTCGTTATTGGATTGTGCTTTCGCGGCCTCAATACTCTTGCGAGCGAGCATGGCTGCTCTGAGCTGAGCACGGGCTCGCTCTTTAGCCTGCTTTTCTGCCCGTTCCAAGTCATACTTATCATTGCCAGCCTGTGTAAACTTGGTCAGTAGCCATTGCAATACAATAGAACAGGTCAACACTTACAAGGCCATGTTTGATGAATCTGCCTGCAGCTGCCTTATCAAGGGCCATGGGGCGTTCCTCGGGTTCGGTCTCCAGCACCTTGATCTTTTCAAAGTACTGCTTCACACGGGTCAGTTCCCGGAACACCGGGTGCTGCTTCGCGTCCACGCCATGAAGCCGCAGATAAGCTGTCAATTCATTAGTATAAGCAAATTAGTAAGATTGCAGTGTGACGTACAGAAGATTAGTGATTCTAGTGTGTAGGTGATCAACACGTGAAGTTTTGCTTTGTCCATAACAGGCAATTTGTTTGAGTTTTTGATGAGGGTACTGGCCAAAAGAGGCTGAAGCACATCCTCCAGATCATCAACATTGTCATCCAGCTGCTCGAGCAGCGGTAGTAGATCTGTTGGGTCCATGGCGGTGAGATGTGGGATGTGGTGTAGATGAGAAATTGCTTGATCTAAGAAAAAAATAGGACGGGCTCAACTGGGGCGGTGAAAGCGGGCGGTGTGGATTCTGGACCGATTATCATCTGCGCAACTGAGATCGCCGAGAACTCACGCATATCCGACAATTGCTTGATTGTGTAAAAATAGGCCTTGGTGGACACACCTGTGGCTGGGCTCTTACCTGTTTAACAGTACCCATGACATAAAAATCGATACCTCACCAAACCCATCGTTCTGACCTCCTCCCATCGCCAAACACATACTTGCAACTCAATCGGATATCCCGGGGATCTTTTCCTCAACACTCTCAGAATGCAGTCGACATTTCGACCCCGCGCTTTGTGGCGAACTGGCATTCTTGGTACATGTCTTCGGTCCCGGTTCCAGGTCCATGGTGGGCCAACTATACGATTCATCTCAACATGGAAGGAAGAGTTGCATGAGGTCAACCATGATACCAAAGCTCCTCTGTCAGGACGAGTGCATATCCTCGGAATGGGTAACTTGGGTTGCTTCTTTGCTCATTCTTTAGCCACAAGACGGTCACCACCGCCAATCACAATCTGCTTGCACAATGACTATCTCTACCAAGCCTTTGTTCGGAAAAGGGGACAAATTTCTGTCAGCACACATGGCCTTGACGATGTCAGAACGGGATTCGATGTTGAAACGGTGGATGAAGAAGGAAGATGGTATACAATGCCGCCTGTTGACAACCGGCCCTCGCCGTTCAATTCTGAGTCTCCGCCAGATAATGGTCCCATCGAGTGTCTAATTATTTGCACCAAGGCGCATCACACGGAGCTTGCCATTAAAGATATTAGTCACCGCCTGACCAAAGACTCGACTATTTGTCTCGTCCATAATGGCATGGGAGTACTCGACTCTATCAATCAAAATGTTTTCCCCGATCCCAACAATCGACCACATTACATCCAGACAGTGTTCAGCCATGGCCTGGGTAGGAACGACTCTTTCAAGATTTCACATTTGGGAGTTGGGACCACTATCCTTAGCCCGGTTGGAGATCCCAATATCCCTCCCACAACGCCGGAAGCTGACCATACGTGGGCGCCGTCCACAAAATATCTTCTGCGCCTGTTGACTCTCACTCCGCCCTTGGTCGCCGTGGCTGATACCCCCGCGGGCCTATTACAATATCAACTTGAGAAATTGGCAGTAAACTGTGTCATCAATCCCCTGACTGCACTGAGCGACTGCACCAATGGCGAACTCCTCTATTCGTTCAGTTTCACCCGTGTCATGCGGCTGCTACTCTTTGAAATCTCCGCCGTGATCTGTGCTCTTCCTGAACTGCAAGGTATCCCAGGGATCGAAGATCGCTTCTCCCCAGAACGCCTGCGTCGTTTAGTCGTGAACATCGCGAGCAACACGGCCAAGAACCACAGTTCAATGCAGCAAGATATCAACCAGAGGAGATTGACAGAGATTGAATACTTCAACGGATGGATTGTGCGTCGCGGTGAAGAACTGGGTATCAAATGCGCACTCAACTACATGATCAAGCATTTGGTCGCTGCCAAAGCGGCTACCCATCGGAGCCGAGAAGCTGGCGCCATTCCCCTCGATCTCGACAATGTCATCTCTACCAATGAACCTCCCATCTAAGAGCTCTGGATTACATTCTACTCTGTCAAATTCTTACTCTACCTTGTCTCCTTGTCATATCTCTCTGTGTGTGAACAGTTCAAAGGATTCAATGATAATCTAAATTCTTTGCGCAGCATCTCTATATAGAGACAGTTTTGGCCGCATGATCGCAAAGATCCTTGATCTGCCTCCACCGTCTCAGCAGCATCTCTGCTTTCGGACGATGTGCTTGGACTGTGGTATCGAGTTCCATGGCCTTCTGCAACACCGTTATAGTTGCATCTGCCTCTGCGGCATAGGTCAGAATCCATCTCTTGATGGTGGCCTCAGATCGACTTTCATCCAAGCCCTCTGATTGGCCTTCAAGAACATGATTCCGCCAATCCTGCTCCTTCATATAGCTCAGGCATGCAGCGACCTCTGTGCGGTAGCAGTGTCCATGGGGAGTGACTTGGTAGTTACTAGCGCTGTGTTAGTGGAGGACTGTACATATATCGCACGAGAAATGCGCATTGCCATGTAAAATATCAAATCAAACACATACCCATAATACTGATTCAACCACAACTCTTCTTGCTGCCCGGCGGAATGAATGTCCCGGAAAACGATATCGTCAAGATAGATCGAATCTGCTTCATTCACATCAAGGAAGAAGCCATCTATAAAAGGGCGAAGGACAAAGTCAGCACATCGAAGAGAAGAAAAGAACAACACTTGCTCACATTCTGCTAGCAATGTATCATTCGGGTGACTGCCATAGTTCATGAACACTTCCTCGCCT